AGTGGGCTGTCTAAGGAGGATGGGGGGCGTGGCAGTTGCGGGGGCAGATGCTGGTGCTGGTGGGTTCCTATATAGTGTGTACATACAGCTGCGGTCAATATAATATTAGTTTTTAGCTTATGAATATAGCAAATTCCAGATAAAAGAAAATGTATAATTATTTTCTTATATTGTTAAGAAATAATTTTTTACAATAGTTTCAAAACTAAATTTTCAGATATTGATATAAATCATTTTCCTTTAAAAACTAAAACAATATCAAGGGTAAGCGTTGTGATAAATTCAAAGAAGAGTTGTCGTATGCTTTAAAGGCATGTTTTGGGCACTTTACATGGTCCCACTACTATTATTTTGACCGCAGCTGTATGTAAGCATAGTATGCTCGTGATGCTGCAGACCTGGAGGCTGAGGTTGCTTCTTCATCATCATCTTGTCTTCTCTTTTTTGTTGTATTTCTCCTTTTGGTTTTGGTCTTCTTTTTTTGTTCTTGTTTTTGGTTTTGGTTCATGGCCCATTAGCTTTTGTTTTGGGGGCCAGTTTCTTCGGGGCATTTCGTCGATTTGCGGGAGAAGCCTTGTTTATGTGGCACTCGGGGCAGTCAGGAGAATATTGCGCGCCAAAAGCCTCGACAAAGTCGAAAATCGAAAATCGAAGCCAAGCCAAGCGCGCCTTCAAAATGGAAGCTTATCATTAAACAAAAGACGCGAGATGGCCAAAAGCCGCTTAGGGACTAATCCCCCCGTCGATTCCCTCTTTTTTTATAGGTGCAGAGAGAGGAAAATATATCGTCATGAATTTATCATAAGTTGGCTATGTCACACACTTTTTTTGGTTATTAAAATCAGAATTAAAACTTTTAAAGTTATAAAAACAAGACTATTTATACTAATCCATAACTGAATAAATATATTATATAAAATATCAATCAAATCTTCCAAATTTGATTAAATCTGTAATATTTTATTTGTAATTAACTTTATTTTAGAATAATTGATAATACTTTTGAATATACATTATTTAGCTCTAAAAATCATAGTGTTGAATTAAGCTTTCAAACTTCGTTTTAATAATTACATCGGATCTTAAACTCAGACTTAATGTTGACAAGCTTCCTATTTTGTAAATGTGTATAAACTGACTCTCCTGGTAGACTTCTCAGATATTTATCCATATTATTTTCAATTGAAGTGATTGAAAATCTTTGGCAAGCCCAGCTGACAGTTGCGAATTCGGCCCGAACGTTGAAAATTATGATAATTTTTATGTGTAGTTGCTGTCGTCGTGCCACAGCAGCCGGCAACAAATTGTGGCAATTACATTGGCATTCCTTTGGCTCACATAAAAGCACACACACAAACACCTGCTGCTCTCTGGGTTGGCTAATTAAGTTGAATTTCAATTGCCGCAGCTGCCGATTCTTAAAAATCACTTGTCGCCTTCGATTTCGATGTCGATGTCGATTTCCCCCCTAGCAAAAATCCAAAGAAATCCGACGAAATTTTCCCCACCGTCATAACAATTTGCAATTTTCCATGCTGCCAACCGCTAACGGCCCAAATCCATCAGCTCATTATGGCCAGTCCAAAACTGGGCGCAGTGGGGGCGTGGCCGGTGGGAAATATGGTATAATGGAAGGATAGGAAGGTCGCCTCCAGTCACCGCAACTTCGCAACTCCGCAACTCCGCAATAGTTGATCTACATTAGTCGGTTGCACAATCAAATCGGTTTCGCCTGGTTAGCAAGGCAGGTGGAGTTGGATCTGAGTACTTTGGTTGGACCAGAAGTGGGTGGTGGTCAGTGGATGCCCGGAGATAGACATCCAAAGATATAGCCATGGACTCATTAAACACACAGACGAAATGTGCGCAACTCAAGGAAAAACAGTTCAAACAGTAACAAAAATGGCGAGACTTACAAATAATTTAAATAGTTAGACTTGGGATAAAACATTTCAAGTAACTGTGTCAAAAAGTGGTTGAATTCCTTCATATTTTTATTTTTAAACCATGCCTACTGCAATTTAACTTCAATTTTAATTCCCTTTTCTTCGAACCTTTTGTTCTTGAAAAATACCTGACACGTTCCACGTACTTGTTTCAGTTTTGAAAAAACCATCTGCATTTGCAGGAGCAAAAAGTCCTTGCAGCTGAAACTAAAGCCCGAAAAAAGGGCAGCTGTCTGTCTGAAATTTCGAAGATAAAACTGCAAAAGTGGTCGGTTTAAAAAAAGGGAGGAGGGGGGATATGAAACTCGGTTATAGAACTTGGCGGCTGCCAGCCAATTTATGTGCACAAATTAACAAGCGAAAAGAAAAGAGGACAGAGAGAGAAAAAACGGCAGCATAAAGGCAATCAAAAGGCTGCCACATAAATTTATGAGCTGCGTCACAAGAAATCCCCGCTGTGGCCGAGAAAACTAGGGAAAAAGCGAGGATATCGGGGGATTTCAAGGGGATATCGGGCCCATGGACGCGTGCTGATCCATAAAAGGGGTTTCCAAAGGGGTTTTCGAGGGGTTTACAAAGGGGTTTTCGAACGGGGAGCCAACGAGGGATCATCGCGCGCGCGCTCATAAAACTTGAAACCAGGAAAAGGAGCCAAAAGCTGGCCAAACTGGTTCTTCTTTTGCCCCGCGAAAAAAAACTAAAACAACAAGCAACGCAACATGTCCTGCTGCTCTTTGGCTAAATTTAGCACGAGCTGGCCATCAAGCTCAGCTGGCTGAAAAGGGTTTAAGCCAAGTTAAGAGCAGAACTCCAGTTTTTTGGACTTTGTACGCCCAGCATGTTGTTTGCGCGCCATTTTCCAGTCGCAAACGAGCGCTAACAAATAGTAAACAACAGCCAAATGCAATTGCAGTTGGCCATCTAAGTACTGCAGTACATGTGTGCAGTTTTTTTTTGTACATATATATATATAGTATAGCCTTATGCCCAAAGTTGGACATTGCCCACTGGGGGCACTCACATCGTAGGGTTAGAAGAAGCAATCATAAATCAAGAAATACGAATGGTTAGGAATAATAATTAGTTGGGGGTCTCACTGGTTAATGTCTGATTTAATATGATACATCATTTATCTATAAATTGCATTTTTTATTTATACAAAAATAGATTTTTCTAATGAATTTATTTCGTTTCGTAACATTGAACATATATATGTATTACCTCGAACTTTACAAGTTAGGCTAAAAATGGCTTAAGAACTTGTATAATATTAATAATTAATTATTTTAATAATTGTTAAAGACAACTATTGGTAATTTTGTGATTTTATTACAACTGTTGATTATTTTAATACAACAAATATTTTTAAATAAATATGACTAAAACCAGGTGGTTTGCCTAAATATTTTAATACTTACAAAAAGTTTTACAAAAAATAAGACGTTTAATCAGTTAAAACCTAGATGGATCAACTGATTTATTCAAGCCTTTTTCCCAAACTCAAGGAGCAGCCCTCCTAACAAAAAAAAAGAACTTGGCTCAAAGCCGTTTGGGCCTTGTTTGGCCAGTTGTTGTCGCCTTTTGGCCAGGCTCCACTCGTTTCGGATTGGATTTTGTGAGTACTCGCACTCGAACTCACATTGGATTTGTTTGCCCGTTTGCCTTTCATTTGTTTGTTTGGGTCTCGTTTCGTTTGGTTTCGTTTGGTTTGGCTTGGCTTAGTTTGGTTTGTTTGTTTATTTGTTTTGGTCTGCTTTTGGCGCGTGTGCAACGCGGCCAACTGTACCAAGATCAACAGCAACAGCAACAGCAACATGCAGCATACACTGCTGCAATGCTGCAATGTTGCTGCTGTGCAGGCAGCTTAATTGGCACGGCAGCAACATCGTCAGCAGCGGCTGCAATTAATAATAGCAGCCGTCTCCCTTTCTCCACTTTTCTCTGGAGACATTGCCATTGGCGTCGCTGGTCGCGACAAGCAGCATAAATTGCAGTTGCCATTTACCGGCAACAGCAGCAACAGCAGCAACATCAGCAAACTGCAGCAACAGCAGCAGCAACATCAACAAGTCAATGGCAAATTTATGTTTGACTCGTGCTCAAGTCAAACACTAAAGACTTGGCTCCAAATGAAAGATAAGATGCAGTGGGAAAAAAATCAAGACTAATATTAAATATTAACTTAATATTAACTTTTAATACTTACTTTTGTAAGTTTGCATGTTTTTGGAACCACCTAAATTTACATTTCCACCGATTTAACTACGGAGAATGTTTAAAGGACAAGGCTTAATTTTTAATTAAAAAATTATAAATGAATGAAATGAAAATTAGTTATTTTCAAGAGGTTTCTAGATTTATTTAAAAATATATATATTTTCTATATGTAGCACTTCTTAAAGTTCTAACCACCTAAATTTACAGTTTCACCAAATTAATTGTCAAAGAAAAATGTTTATGATATTTTTAGAATGTTTAAGAATGTTTTTCTAAGTGTGCCCCGCCTGATAAAAATCAAAAAAGGCCAAATGAAGGAATGGTATTGCCTATCAAGTTACACAAAAGAGTCAAAAAGCAAAGAAAGAGGATCAGAAATTGTTCGAGAGTCATCCTTTGTTTAGCTTATCCGATTTCAGGTTGCCCAAGGGCTTCAATACCCATACTAAAGGTTAAGGCCAGCGAATCCTTAAATCTAAGCCTATTAGCCAGGTTTGGAGTTCTTAAGGTCATTGCAACATCAGCTATAAGTCTTAAATCGCTTTAGCCTCGACCTCTGGGGTCTTTAGACTTCGAAAACAATTTTATTATATATAATCTGCTTTAAAATTATATTTTCAACAAAAAGATAATAGAACCTTGAGAAAACGAAATTCTTTCGAGTAGATTCCCCAAGGATTAATCATCTCAGATGACTTTGGATTTGGTTGGATGAAATTGGAACCATTCAACCATATTCAATTATTTAACTAATTAAAAAGAAAAATAGCTATTCATTTTCAAGCAGTCAATGTTTTATGTAGTAAGCATGATGTACAAAATATGCAAGCGAAACATTTCTCCCATTAGAAAGGCCTCCACGGGATTAGAATGGGTGATCGGTGAGATCATCCTCAGGTTCCTGCTCAAAAGCCATTATCTCCATTAGCTCCGCAGCTTGGCTAATTGCGAGGCCAATCAAGGCCCAAAGCGAGTCAATTAAGAGATTGTCGATGGCGATCCGTGATCGGGAGCTCGCCACGAGGATCCATCTCCATCTCCACCTCGCTCCTCTCCTTTTCCAGCAATGACAATTGTTACCTGACCGGACGATATATATAAATATATATCTATATAAACAGCTGCGGTCAAAATACTAGTTGTGGGACTAAGTAAAGTGCTAAAAAATCTACCTCGAAGGCATGGGACTATATTTCTTATAATCTATCATAATGCTTCTTGCGTAACAATAAACAAAATTAGGTTTAAAAAATCTTTGATAATGTTTATTATTTCAAAGAAATAAAAAACTTACTATACACTGTGGTAAGTTACTTAATAACAATTTATGAAAATCATAAATAAATTATTGTTAATCTGCATTTTGTTTTAAAACAACATATTAAAAAAAAAAAGTTTTGCTTATCATTTTTTTTAAGTATTTAAATGTGAATTTTAAATTTGCACCATTGAGAAAAAAAAATGTTTAAAACTATCTTCCAAATATCTTTGATTGATCAGTTTTCATATGCTAAAAAACTACTACTATTTTGACCGCAGCTGTATATATCTATATACACTGCATGAGAAGGGACTCCGGGGGACTTTTACCACATTTGGGTGCAGCTGGCCAACCGGTTTGGCGCGTGCTTCTCGTGCTCCCTTTCTCCAGTCTCCAGTCTTCAGTCTTCAGTCTCCCTGTCCGTCTATCCCTCCATCCGACTTGTATTTGTGCACAAATGAATTAATTAAAGTCGACGACGACGACGACGGACCATCAACAAGCAGATCGATCGGGGGGCAAAAGCGTAGAGGACAGGCAGCTGCCTCTAGAAGTACTCCTTGCCCAGGCGAACGCGCTCCCTCGGCTTGTGGCGATTGGACACGCCATCCGACTCGTCCATCATGTCCTCCAGCATGCGCTCCTGGCGAGGATTCAGGGCGGCCAGATGGATCTCCCGCGTGGCCCGGAACTTGCCGCAGTTGAACAAGTGCTCGTTCTCCAGGCGCACGTAGTTCCAAATGAAGCGCCTAAGGGGCAGGAGCAAGCTACACTCAACGAAAACGGTAGCACCTACACACCACTTAAATTGGTTAAGTGGAAAAACGCTTTTGACTTTTTCGAGTCTTTTAGATTTCTTACAATTTCTTAATTCATTTTTCTATCTGAGTGTTAGGTAGTAAATAAATGTTTTGCGGTAATTAAAAATAGTAGAGCTTAAGGCAAAATACAAAATAAAATCAAAGGACTAATTATAGGAAAATGGTTGAGATAACAACTTCAGAAGTTATATATCGCTTAATAACAACAATTTTCTTAAATTAAATGAATAATTATACCTATCTCTTTAAAAAGACATTTCCTACATGAAAATCGAACAAATAATAATGAACAAAAACCTTGATATGAAAACTTTGGAATCCTTTCTCGGATTGAAAGGGGTTTTTCCAAAATAAGTGATATGTTAATATCCGCTCTCACCTAGTGATCTCCAGGATACTACTGATGGTCTTCATATTGTACGGAGTCATCAGGTTGTGATACAGAATGGCAAACTCAAAGGCCCAAAAGAGGCGCAGTAGCAGATTCTCGACGATCACAAAGTAGTAGAAGGCCTGCGAGTAGACGAGCTGCTTCCTCAGGAAAATATGCTCACCCCTCATGACTCGAAAGAGTCCAAAGTCGCGGATCACATCCCACAAGTAGCAATAAACCGTGGCCACCACGCAACTGGCGAGGAATAGCCAGGTGTACGGATTGCTGAACGTGTTGGCATACCCACCTGTGGGTCAGGATTGATTGGCATAACCACAATTTAGGGGATTACTACAACTAGGGTAAATCGATTTGTAGGGGATAAATCTTAGGGGCAAATCTGTCAAATATTGTTTCTTAGCTATGGAAAAGTAATTAAAGTCTATGTTCTATATTTAGATTTAAAAATTACTACTAATCTAAATTTTTCTGAAAAACCAGTATTTTAAAAAATTGGATTCTTTGGTAATGTTTAATGGAACTGTCTATATATTACCATTAATTCCTATGATTTGTCTTTGTTGAATAAATATAAATAATAAAACCGAACAGTTTCTCTTTAAACTTTTTTCTAACGAAAAAAACAGTATTTTTCTTTTACAAAAGGGGTCAAATGTGAATTTAAAGATTTAGTTTCATTGGCAATGTTTTTAAGAATTGTCTATATAAATAAACTTGCACCCCTACGACTTAGCTTTTTTTTAGGTAACAATAATAATAATAAAGTCTACCAATTTCAAAGGCTACTACGTAAAACCAGTATTTTTCGTTTGTAAATAAAGAGGTTCAAACGAGATTTTAGAGACTTATTTTGGGCCCTCAAATCGATCAACCCCAACGATTACCCTCCGATTTTCCTCGCAGCGTGGAGAACAGCACCACCAGAAATGTGGTGGAATACTTGCCGGCATTGATCAGGTAGCTCACCGACTTGGAGCCACTGTCCCGAAACCGCCGCAGGCACTGGGCGAACCGAAACCATCCGGGCAAGCACATGGCTATGGGCACCATAACATCCGGTTCGAAGCAACTGCTCAAGATTTCATAGCGCAGCCAGCTCACGGCATAGAACCGCCCAATGTAGTAGTGGTCCACGATGCAGGTTACCAGCGAGTTCAGCTGGTCGCCCATCCAGAAGTCGGCGAAGCCCACATAGTGCAGCGGAGCGCTGATGACGCGACCCACCAGCTTGATGGTCCACCACCTGGCCGGCCAGTTCATGATGGGCAGCGGCACCACCAGCAGGCCCACCATGATCAGGATGAGGGCCAGCGGGAAGACGAATGGATCCGTGATGCCCATGGCCTTGTGGTGCAGGAATCCCAGCATCGACAGGGCCCACAGGATGCCGAAGGTGCAGGCGATCTCCAGGAAGGTCGCCGGCTGCAGGTGACTTCGGGGGTCAATCTCGAAGATCAGGACGTGGTTGACCCCGGCCCGCTGCCATCCGGCCACATTGGCGGCCATGTAGAAGTTGAAGATCACCCAGGTGAAGGGACCGCGGTACAGGCGCATCAGGCCCGGCGTTTCGCCCTTCGTCGGAGGCAGTTTCCAATCTACCAAAAGGGTTGATATGCCATGGGAGCAGGAGGAATCAAATTTATCAAGAAATAATGTCCTACAAATGCCCAGTTTTAAATTCTAGCCGATATATCAATGTCACGTTAAGTTTTAACATCTGGTTAAAATTGGCCTAGTTTTCTATTTTTGCTTAAAGTTTCTGGATTTCTTCTTAACATCACATCGAGAATTTCGAACTTATTCTGCGGACAGATTACAAGCTAACCTGACATCAAGATTTCTGTCCAAAACAATTAAACATCACATTGAGAAAATGAATTTGTATTCCTAACCAGAACATTGAGAAATCGGTACAAAATGTGTTATTACTAGATTTCTGATATAGTTATACAGTTGATAGGCTTAAATTCGAATTAATTTCTATCTGTATAAGATTAGAAGTGAAAACCGAGAAAATTCCCACTAAATAAAGTTAGTTTCGAGTAGGAAGTTTATATTAATATTTGGAACAGAGATAAGCTCAAGAAGTTTTGGGAAGTTCTTTCCAATAAAAGTCTTTTTCGCAAATTTTAACCAATCCGTAAATGGTGGTTCTAGAAAATATTAAATGGGGAATCTTAGAAAACCAGAGCACGAATTCGATTTCTCTTGGAGCCTAGCTGTATAACTGGGCATTGAAGGATATAGAGAGAGAGTGGAGTCAACCTACAGCTGAAGGCGGTGGCCAGGAGCAGCATGAGCAGCATTCCCAGGGCTATGCCGGCCCGGAAGACCATCGCCGGCGGCGTGGGCTCCCCGAGCGGCGGCACGCGCAGCTTCTCCATGGCCAACGATCGATCCCCGTCGGCCAGATGGATCGTGTACAGGTCCTCCACCTCGACGGTCATGCGCTGCAGCTGGCGGCCATCCGTGAACGGGGCATTCGGCACATTCTGCTCGAACCAGCTGCCCGCCGCTCCAGAGCGGAGGTTCTTGTCGTACTTCTTGCAGATCTTGCGGAAGCCCGTCTCGTTCAGCGACTGATAGTTTTGGATGAGCACCAGGCTCAGATAGAACTCGGCATAGGCGTAGCTCAGCTGGCGACGGGTCATTTGCTTTTGACTTTGATTGTGGTTCTTTTTCTTGAATCTTGAGAGAGATTGGGAACGGGAACGGGGCTGGGGCTGGGGCTGGGACTGCAGCGAAGTCTCGCTGGTCGTGGGTCCCGGTTCGTGGGAGTAGGCCAAGAGCTGTAGCTTCAAGTGGCCATGCTTGCGTCGCGCCTCGAGCAGTTTCTCCAGGAAGAAGTTGTTCACCCCGGTCAGCTCCGATTGGCACTCGGCGAGGAAGGTCTCCTCGAAGGCCCTGTAATAGGCCTGCACTTCGTAGTCCGTGGCACTCAGTGGCGAGGGGGCATTCTCGACGCCTTGCTTGATCAGCGCCTTGAGCTCCTAGGTGGCACACATGATTTGGGGGCACGGGTACACCTTATAACCCAATTTATCTAGCTTACCGCATATCGCATATACTGCTGGCGCCACTCGATCGTCAAGTGGGACTCGAAAGTCTTGCCAAACTTCATCCTCGGCACGGGCACGCAGGCCCCCAAGGTGCGGCTTCTATACGGCTAAGACCAGCTGGATTCACAAGGTTCTACAAATTCTGACGTCTTTCTCCTGGCATCTTTTTAATAATATTAATGCTCAAACACTCAAAATATTCGTAACATATAATATTAGCAACTGCTGCACTTAAGTTTTTAAATTTATAAAAAATGTAAATTCTGGATTACATTTAATTGTATTTAATATTTAGATTTTGTAATAACCTAACTTGACTGTTATTTAAAATGTCTTAAAAATATTTAAATTTTTCCAAACAAGAAAAGGATAAGTTTTTTATATTCCTTTGTAATACTTAAGACTTAACAATAATAAACCATTAGGAAATGGTTATTTGCCCCCAAGTTGCAGTGATAATTGAGCTCAACCAATAAAACTAATAACCATAATTAAAGCTTCAAGACAAATAACACTTTGTTTTTAAATCAATAATTAATTACTTGTGACCGACTGTGTGTGTGTGTGTGTGTCTCAGACCTTTGTGGAAGTTCTGGTTCTGGTCGCCAACTTCCCTTGTTTGCGAGTCACTTCCTCGATCTCATTATGCGTTCGCACGCTGTTCCTCGTGGATCGTCTTCCTGTCCGTCAGAAAACCCCATCCAATACCCATACCCATGCCCATACCCAGTGAGTCGAGGTGAGTCAGTTGCCCAGGAAACAAAAACACTTGCAGTTCCCGTTGAGCGAGCCCCGAAATTGCATATAATAAGGCAAACTTATTAGCGGCTGATGCGCAAAAATAAAAATAAAAATAAAAATAAATAAAAAAAATGAAGCTGTCGAAAACCTGGGCTCGTCCGGGAATTGAACCCGGGACCTCTCGCACCCGAAGCGAGAATCATACCTCTAGACCAACGAGCCAAACACCCCATGTGAAAGTGAGCGGCGAAATAGCCCATATAAGCACAAGCTCTAAATCTGGAGTTGCGAAAGAAAAAGCCTCAAGAACTCTTGGCCCAGAAGAATTCTTCCAAACTCTCTTCGCGCTCGACTCTCGGATTCTTCGCAGCTTGTGGGGCTTCTACTTCTGGGCGCCGCTCGAGGGTGACGATCAGTCGACGCCTACGACAAAAGTGCCGCTACAATGACAAACCGCAAAAAAAAAAATACAAAAAACAAACAGAAAACAAAAGAATGGCTGAAGATTCTCAAGAACCCATTCATTGTTGTTATTGTGGGTACTATTACGCAACTGGGGCTGCCAGATCTTAAGGCTTTGACCATTAATTTATGGCCGTAAAACAATTAATTGACAAAAAGAAAAAGAAACAAAAACCAGCAGCCACCACAAATCGATTTGTTACTTTTATTCATACCGTTTAACCCGAAGCCTTTATAAGAACATAAATACACACTCTGATTTCTGATTGGGGTCACAGGGTAGCGCCCCCTTAGCGGCCAATCGGAATTCCAGCTCGAATTCATAATTAATTAGTCGTCTAGGCGAGGCCTGCAGCTAGACAAATTGTTCAGGGGTTTGGTCTTGGCACCCATTCACACGGTAAACAATTTTTGTACCCTGTAAAAACTTCACACCAAGCTGGGGCGTGCCAAAATGTCTTGAAAATACTTAAATACAAAAAATAAGGGCTTGCGCTATGCGATTAAGAACTAATTAAAAACCATAGAGACTTTTTGCCAATGATTTAATGTAAAAAAGCATTTAACTTTGATTCTATGAACCCACACAGGAAATAAATTCATCATATTGATGAACATATGTTTTATTTCAGCATAGAAAGTAAAATAAAGTCTAACCACATAAATACAAATTACAAAAATAATACTAATATTTATACAATGATTTAAATTGAAATATATACAAAAAGAAGCAAAAACAAAAGCAACCGTAACAAAAATAGTTTAACGCTTATTTAAAAACTAGAAAATAAACACTGCACATTTATTATGTAATTACAAATGACGTATTTTAAGTGCATAATAATAGAAATAAGGAAAAATAAATTAAATGCATTTAAAAAGCGATTTAAATAAAACCACTAATAACACAGATAATAAGATTTAATCAGTGCGGAAAACAATAGGAAGCCCATCTTCACGCACTGTATGCTGGATGGCAGGTTTGTGGAGCTCCATGGCTCTAGAACTCCTCGATTCCTGGCCAGAAAATCCAGTTGCCGCAATTGGCGCAATCAATCAATTACGAGGGGAAGATCGTCGATGGCTTCCTCCTCTCTTCAAATGGCGAATGGCGAATGGCGCCAAAACGGAAGCTATAACATCCGATCGATTGGGGGACAAGTATCGTATGGTATAGGTGGCTATATATTACAGGTGGTTGTACCAAGTGCTCCAAGCGGAGCACCACCCAATGCCAACTTCCGTTTTGATTGGGCCCACAATTGGCCAGCGAGTGCTGACAGACCATTATAATCTTGGCCAGAACTGCAGCGACTTGTGCAACTTCCGCGCTCCAATTGTGCAAATTATGGCATCGCTCAGGTGTAATTACAAATGTCAGTGACTCGCCAATTGCCAATTGGCAATGCGTAATTGGCTAATTGAATTGCCTGCCATTGATCGTTGATCGTTGATCGCTGATCGTTGATCGTTCGATTGCCTATCCGAAAGACCAAGCCCACATCCACATCCACATCCACATCCGATCATCCATCTTGCCTCTGCCTCATCAATCATTCGATTTCCCCCACCGAAAACCCAAAAGAATCTCTGCCTTTTCCCGGGTGGTCTGCTCCAATGCCCTCTGATCCCCAAACGAACTGCTTTCTGTGGGTGGCTAATAGCCTAAAGAAACGGAGGGGAAAAAACCCAAAGACCACACATTCTCTGCCCGCTTTTCTTGCTTTTCCATTTCCCAAGAAAACCAAAAACACACGATGGAATTTGGGTAGCCATGGAAGCCCAGTAAAAGCTCGATTTAGCCACTGGATTCCGAGTTGAATTTAGATCAGGACCCCCGCAGGCTGACGAATTATTTTTTGGCTCACCTGCAGACCACTGTGGTTTAAGTGTTCATGGAAAAATAGCAGATCATAAGTCAATGTTGTGAGAATAAATGGTTAAAGCTTATTTGGAAATATTTAACTTATTTAAAATTACAAAAACTTGTGGTTAATTACATAAAGTTAAGTCCAGAAAAAGTTTTCTTAAAATGTATCAAAAACAAGCAATTAGCATTTTACAAACCACAATATCAGGCAATGCAATACAAATAGCTAAATTTAACAAATCTATTTGACAAAAATATCGTCAAACTGAAATTTAAAATGGCAAGTTTTATAATTGTCATAATTGATATATATATTTTTATATACTGATTATGAAAATAAACTTTATTTCAATGACTAATTACCAAGAAACAGAAAGCGCATTTTGATAACTCAATAAGTGTATAGTTTACTTTTCGCATACCCCAATCAAAAATTGGTCAACCGGTTTGACTCGATTATGATTATGTGGCCGTAAAGCGGCGAAAAGAAAGCAAAACACTACAGCAAATTAGAAATTGAATTAGAAGCGAACGAACATGGCAGGAAATGGGCATTATTCTGGGTCCGGCCATAACAATTACAACTGCCATGGCCATTACACTTACAATTACCACCGAAAAGAGGGTGAAATGAAGAGGAATTTCTAATCTTGCCGCCAATGTCGTCGCTTTCACCTTTATTTTATCTCAAACACCGTGTTTTTTTTTTTTTTTGGATTTCTGGGCGAGTTACAACGTCTGACCACGGAAATGTAAATGGAAATGTAAATGCCGTGTAAATACAAAGCGGCGAAGCGGGCTAATTGAAAATGCAACAATGGCATAGCGGAAGTGCAGCGATCGAGTTTGAGTTTGAGTTCGAATTCGAAATCGAATCGATTTTGGTTGCCTTGTGATGGATTGTGTCTCAATTAGGGCCAAATTGCCCCGGCTGTGACAACTCAGCACAAAATGGAAAATAAACTAATGAGATTCGGCCGATTCGGGTCTGGACCATCAATCGATTAGCTAATTAGATCCCATATGCATTTTGGAAAATTTGGATGCAACACGGAAATGATGAAAAAGTTTTGGGTTTAGTGGGAGAAAAAGAAATAATCGAAACCAAAATGAAAGCTTAGCCAGAGAAATCTCTTCAAACAAATTTAGTTGAAATAATTTTTAATATTTTATATAATTTAATTGTATTTCAGTTGTAAATTGTAAGGTTTAGAATTAAAAAAAGCACTTTCTTGTATTCACTATCATCATTTTTGTTAGTACTGAATGTACAATGAGATTAAACAGTAAATCTAAATTATCTTACTTTTTATAGCGAATTCATTTGAAATTTTTTATTGGTTTGAGCATTCCCCAGCAATCAAAGATCTTGAAAGAGAGATAGGAAGTGCTAGCGATAAATATGCATGAGCCCTACAAAGTAACAAAAAACCGTAATGTGGTTGCAATCAGAATTCATTTCCCCGTTCTGGGCAACTTCATTAGGAGCCTAATTGAGACATTAAATGGGAAGAGGGCAAGCCCGGAAAACACTTTCCATTTGGGCTACCGTTTCCATGCTTCCATTTTTCCATTTTTCCATTTTCATTACCATTTTACCCTGGGCGACGGCACATTTCTAGAGAAAATCAATTTCGAAACAAAAGACTTGGGACACGAACTGAAAACGAGAAATGGTAACAGTTTAAAAGGTTCATTGAACATGGACAACTCACGGACAACTTTCGAATGGCCAGCAACATGATGTTGCCGTGTTACCACCGCAATTACCGACAACCAGATCGAAGAGGTTGCGTTGCCATTTGGAATACGAAATGCGGGTGCTATGCCACCAAACCAGCAACCACCTCAACATTCGCTTTCTGGCTTTCTGGCCCTGAAACAACAATGCCGACCATGATGCTGGCCAAAAATAACACATCGTGCTCATGACTTTACATTTGCCGGCAACAATTACCAAATTTAAATAAAATTTGTCATTTTTTGGGGTTCGCTGTGATGAGTTGTGAACAACAATTAACGAGCACAGTCGTTTTAGGAAAATATACACAACAAATATTAATATGCGGAAGATGGCTGTTCAAGTACTTTCGAGAGACGCCTCTAATGGATGAAGTAAATAAACAGGAAAATAAACAACACAATTGAATGCTGTATAAATAAATATTATAGAATATCTTTCAAGAGCAGAAAACGTAATATTTTAATTACATATAATAGATACTTTATCAATTGCTTTTTTACGCGTAAAGTGTGCAGGCATAATTTGCATGTCTCTATCTCTATAAATCCCTATCCCTCGGTAAACGAAATACAAAATGCCCATTAAGAAACTAAATCACATTTTGCGGTTAAATCGTAAAACCACATAGCGCATACCAAATCCGACTGTTAAATTAACAACGCATGTTCTCTTTGCTTAATAACCAAATTGGTTGCCCGTCCGAGGGCATTAAAACCCCTATCAAAGCAGTTTAATTCGCGCAACCTGTCCTTCATTTGTAACCCCTATTCTGGTTGTCAAGTTGCCTGCCTTTTTTAAACAGAGTCAAAAGTATATGTGCATATGCATAAGCCCCAGTGATCTGGTCAGTATTTTTAGAGGGGACTATACCGCTTTTCCTTACTTTACATTACTTTACTTTATGGCCAGAAAGGAGCCGAGGCGAAGACGTTCTTCTTTTTGGCCACGAGAGCGTTCTTCTTTTCACAGGCAGCGCCTTCGAGCGGAACCGTCTTGGATCAACTTTTTCGCTGTTCGCTTTTTATTTTTTTTTTGGCAGCTGCCCCAGCGACAGGTGCACCTAAATCCCACACAACATATTCATACAGGTGTAATCACTATTACAGCAGTGGGTCTCAGCTAGAGTCAAAAAAATTGGTTTTTATGTAAAACATCTTTTTTAAGTTGTAAATAAACTCAAAAAAAGATGTTTAATATTTTATATAAAAAATAGGTATTTTAAAAGTTTTTAAAGCTAACAGAAATACCTGTATTTCATAGTTTACCTATCTATTAAAAGTCGTTTATATATTTTATTATTTAATTTTTTGTTACGCTTTCGTTTAAACACTGTTATTTTGAACTTAGGTGTAAATGATGTTACTTAGGGTTTATGGCCCCAAAAACGTATTATTCGCAAACCAATATATACACTTCCGATTTCATAACCACATTTTTTTTTGGCCACCTTCGGCACACGCACTTGCCGTGAACGATTTTTCTCACATTCCTAATGACAGCCAATGGACGCGGCGGGGAGATCATCATTTGCTTTTGGCCGTAAATATCAAATTCATATTAGTTGCCAACCAAGTGGAACCCCCTCGATCCGCCGACCCGTTTGTTTGGCTTATCGTGTGAACTAATCTAAGGGGAGTCTCTTAGTCTCTGAGTCTCAAAGTCTTGGAACTCTGGAGTCGCAGTAGCTGTGAAATGATGTGCGAGTCTATGAGCATAATACTTCCCCCATAATACCATACCCTTCCCCCCGCCCCCTTTTGCGAGCCCGGTCTATATCATGAACCGATTGTTGACCGTCTACGCTGAAATTGAAGCCCAGGAAAATGGTGCGACTGGCAGTTGTTTGCAGCTACTTTATTACACTCCGCCACTCCGCCACTCGGCACCACAAAAGACTCAAGACGTTCGTCTGAAGGTTTCCCTGCCTGATATACTATATATATATATATAATATATATATATATATATATACCACACATACGAATGGCTTTTTTGTCGCCGAGGGTTTCGCTCTGTCTTTCGTTGCAGTTGAGTGCCCCCGAATCCGGCAAAAGAAACACATTAAAAGCATATCAAGTGGAATCATCGGTGTGTTCTCAGAGTTTGTCAGTTGCAGGTTGCAAGTTGCTAGCTGCAAGTTGCATGTTACTGGTTGTAGCAACAGCAAAAAACCCCCTTGACTTTGACCAACAATTTGGAAGAAAGCCAAAAACAATCAAACCACTTTGTTTTGAAGATCTGGGCCTAGACAATGGATCTCTGTAGATGGAACCGAAATCAAAGCTGGCATCTGTCAACAAATGTTTTTTTTTTTTTGGGCTTGGCCCACGCCATTTGGCCACATTTGATTGCCATTGTCTCGCGTTGATTTGTTTCCATTACTGGCTTTTGTCTGCGTATATTTAAAGGGTATGATAGGTTTGGGGTCTTTTGGGTTCAATTTTCTTAAAGAACACGCTAAACAAAATGCGGTTTTCGAAAAAGTTTTTCCCGATTATTTAAAAAGTTGAAGTTGCATCATCAAATATACAATACTATTTTCTAAAGGTTTAATTTTTATTTCGGATAAATAAAGCCATGACATTGTTTCTTCTTTACATTACACTGATAAAAATATTGAATATTTAAATTTAATATCTGACTATTGAATTCAAAATTATACATTTAATTTGATTGAAATCTAAAATTCCATTATTATTATTAGATTAAACTATTAAAACTAATTAAGAAGATCTCCAATTAAAAATTTAAAGAAATTTTAATAATTCCATATTTAAAATACCCAAGAACTGCAATTGATGAAAATCAAAGCGAGCGATATTTAAATTTACTACAAAGTATTTGGACTTACTACGTTATTGTTTTATTAGTGTAATGTTTAATTATTATTAAAATAGTTTTTCTATTTTACATTACATATAATCTTTATTTCTCCATTAGAAATTTGACTCTCCAAGCATTTTTTTAAACTTCTTGGCCATTGTAAAATATCTAAATTAAATGTTATTTTAAGGGGTATATGTGCAATTCGTATTGCTCATGGATTGTAGGCCCCTCGACACATATCGTGTCGCATGATGCCACGCCTTGGATTCGTATGTTGCAAAACCAGCAGCCGTGTAAGAAATAAAACTGAAATAAGAGCACATGCCGTCCGTGCAATTAGTTTAATGTTAGTGGCCGCACCTAGGCCTCGCCTCGCCTCGAGATCTCAAGATCTTAACTCCCGAACCCCGAACCCCCTACTCTTAAATCTCTGCACTCATATCCCGACTCGCAGCTTCCAACTCCCATTTCAACTCGCAACACTGACGATCCCATTCGAACGGGTCGATTGGAGGGGGTTAACTACTGTACCACTGGCCGTAAGTGAGTCATGACGATCGAGATTTATCCAATCGATAATTGAACAGCAACGCCCGAAGACAGTTACACAATGGCAATCCATTATCGGATGTAAATCGGTGTGAAGATGATCAAGTGCCTAACCCACAGCTTAATGGTGAATTTAGACTTTATCAATCAAATATATTTTAAATTAATAACAAAACATAGGAATAGTAAGAGATTTATCAATCTTATACAAAATAAAAAAATAAATAGAATAATAAAAAAATTTAAAATAAATAAGATTAAATAATATATAACCAAAATTATGTTTATTGAGAAATGTTTTAAGTTATCAAACAACTTAAATAAATAATTACATTTATGTTACGAGCAATGGCTATTTAATGTTTTTTTTTATTCCCAGATCATTTGAACTTTCTAAGATTTAAATCCAATCTCCGCAATAAAGAATCCAATTCAAATTACCCAAGTACTATCTGCACCAAAGCAAATTGACTGAAGGGATCTCTTTCCAAAACGTCTTACCGATAAGTGGGAAAGTTTCAGCTTGTTTTTGAGATATAACTAGAGCTGGGAGCCCTTGTCTGACAACCCATTGCTTGTTGCAATCGGACTAATTGTTGTACGAACCCGACTTTTGCATAATTTCCCCTGGCATAACCCCGTTTTCGAGGAGGGGCCACTGTCGGGGCAATCATTAATATACAGATTTATGTTTATTAAGAGTTGCTCGCTAAATTTATGCAACTGGGTGGCGCTCGAGGTTTCCCGAACAACTAAACAACCAAAGAACTGAAGAACCATACTGCTTTGGGCCAACCAAGCCCACAATTGGCCATGTGAAAAGTTTGCCTTGACTGCGAATTGAAACGGAGACAGTGAACCCACTCAGGGGAAGATTGAAGATTGAAGACTGAAGACCGAAGTGGAGTGAACTGGAGACTAGAGGCTGATGACTGATGACTGAAGACAAAAGAGTGGGTAACGAACCGCCACCACCCACCTTATATGGTGCATTTGTGGCGCCCACTCACACACTCTCCAGCCAAACTCAGCAGCCAATTAACACGATTTCAATTTCGGCTGACTATCGCGAAGGTTGCCAAATATCAACTGGAGGCCATCGATAAATTGGAGGCCTCTTTGTAAACATTTCAAATTAAACTACTTCATTTTTTAAACCGTAAAGTGCACATTTTAAATTTTTAAATTTTATGATTGTAAAGATCCCAGTACCAGTTTTTTTTTATCTAGGAAAAGGTAGAAGGTATTTGCGAAAGTGAGTATCAAACTAATTCGAAACCAAAAATATATAAAAATATTTCACTATCTCAATACCTAAGATAGCTTTATCTTAAGTTAAATAAAAACATACACCAAGGTAAGAGAAAAGCTTATTATAAGGTACCAACAAAATGTAATGTATGTAGGTACACCCCAACACTATTATAAGCCCCAGCTATTTGTGAAACTTGACATATTTGCCAAAAACAGTTATAGCAACATTAAAACTATTGAAATTATTATATTATATATTATATTATATTAGATATGTTATTCTATACCATATATACTAGGATAATTTCCATATAAAAAATATATAAAATATATATATGCCTACCTGAACGGCACAGTTGAGGAAGCAGTTGTTCTGGCCGGGTCCATTGAGCAGTCCTTTGGAGGAGGGTTCCAAACTGGGCGAGGTCAAACTGTTGGGGGCTCGCAGCAGCTCCAGCAGGCGATTCCGTTCCGATCCGTTCTGGATCGAGCCAATGGCATATGGCTTGGGCGGCTGGGCGTATTGGCTGTTGGTGGGCGTGGCAGGTGTGGCGGCACCACTGGCCAACCGATATAGTGTGCCCGGAGTGGTCATTCTGCGTCCACTCCTGGTTGACATTCAAAAATGGTGCTGATGCTGCAAGACAATGGAACAAAGGGAGAAAGAGCTTAGTGAGAGAAGTGTCACTCATTGTTCAACATTGATGTTGACCCAAAACCAAGTTGTCCAAAAAGTCCGCATGTCAGAGAAGAAACCAAGACACCAGATTTGAAATGTGGCTGCTGAGATTCAAGATTCGAGATTCGAGATTTGAGATTCGAAATGATGTGGGTTGGCCCTGACGTGTCGCCGGCAATTAGTCGCAGCTGTGAAAATTCCCTCATGCAAAGCAGAAGCCTGAGCACGAAGGTGGAATTCGAGTACCACACGGAAACCCCAGATGAGCTGGGAGGTCACTAAGTTTTTAAAATAAAAAAAACGAGCAAAAACGAGCAAAATCTAACCAGATTTCTTAATTTTGCAGAAAACGTGTTGTAAAATGTTTTACTTTATTGAAGAATTTAAAGGTTACTAAATTATACTAAAAGCATTTCTCAATTTAGAAAGATTTGAAAGCTTTTCTGCTTACTTCTTATTAACCGGCATTCAAAAATATTTTGTAAATATAAAGCAATTAGCATTGACAATTTAATAGAGATTAAACTATGGAAAAGTGTGCTATTAACGTTTATCCAACGAACAGTAAGCATAAATTAATACAAAATCAACCTGGTGGATTGGTAATTATTGAATGAGAAGTGCTTCCATAAATATTAATGACGCGAAATCGACGGCAAGAATCCTTAAGAACCGGAATTTCTTTTGAGCAAAGACCCCATCAATTTCTCCTCATTATTTCACCTGGAAGAGTTCTGCGGGTGAAAGTCGCCGAGATGGGATTGAATACCATATTCCTCTAAGAGCCATACACATTTTGCGTGAAGTGGCGTGTCGTGTCGTGGCGTGAGTATCTGTGTCACTTGGCGGAAGTGGACAACTGGGATTATGCAACCGTTAATTGCAGGCCAGCCGTCGTCATTCGCAATTCATTCATCAAATTGCACGGCCGTCAAGGCATTTTGTGTCTTTAATGCGTCCATTTCGTTTTATTTGCCCACATTTTCTGCTTTGCAATGCGGGCAAAAATAGTTGAGCAAACCAGATGGCAAAGAAACTTTCTCAAAAAAGTATATATAGATTTTCTAAAAAAAAAAAACAAAAGAAAAAAAATTATGGAAACAAGGTTCCACCGAGATTTGAACTCGGATCGCAGGATTCAGAGTCCTGAGTGCTAACCATTACACCATGGAACCCACTTGATGACCTGGGTTCAAAACCTTGCTAAGGGCTTACGTCTACACTTTTTTTTTCAAAACCTATTTTAAGCAAATATAAACATACATATATGCGATATTTTTATAAATGCTGAATCTGTTAAATTCTGGACTTAGCTAGAATTATTGTTAAATATTCCACCTCTTAGTTATATATATATATTCTTCCCGGAATATATTCGTTTTTTTTTGGGCTGCACCTGATTGAACCCATTTAAATACTTTTGGTGTATAGAAGGGTATGGTAAATCTGCATTAAATACAGGTTTTATATTTGCTCCTCTGTTGCTTAAGATTTCAGAGAAAAACACTATTGTTTTATTCACCATCAAATTTTACATTTTATTTGAGAGTTTATAAAAACCTCAGCCAACTTTATTTTCCCTTAAATACTTAATCCGTATGCTCTCGAATTTCCAATTCCGAACGCAAATCAGTTTGATAAATATGTTTTTGTAAGCGCCGAACATTTGAATATTAAATTCCAACCCATTTCGGCATCGGTTGTGCCCCCAATTCCGGGAATTAATTTTCAAGTGGAAATCAGAGACCTGTGCGCATGCAAATGAAAATGAAAATGAAAATTGGGCCCAGAAGTCAAAAGATTCCCATTTCCCAATGTTGAATTTGGGTCTTATGCCGCCGAACGTTGCTAATTGATAAATGCTGCCCAATAGGGCAACGGTGAACAGTTCACCTTTCCCGATCCGCTGCACCCTAATTAGCATAATCTTCCCCACCGGTTGCACCTGCAACAAACCGTTTTGCATATTAATCGAGTTGGTTGGAAACAAAAAAATGAAAAAAACGGAGAGGCATTTCAATTGCTGTTGCGTGAAATGCATCAATTTGTGGCAGCAGCAGCAGCAGCAACCAATCAACATTCGACATGGTCTCGCTGTCAATTCAATTTTAGGATCCATCATTGGGCCATGCAACATCATAAGTGCGGATAAACTTTATAATTTTCCACTCCTCTTTCTGTTTCTGTTTTTTTTTCGGATAATTAAGAAATTCTTGTTAAATTACAAACGAAGCAGACAAAAAATACGGCTCACGCAATCGTTGATGTTGTTTTTGAGTTTTCTCTCTTTATCTTGTCGATAATATTATATTTTTAAAGTATTTTAATTAAATATTTTCAAGACAGTATCAATAATATTTTTAGATATTATAATGATACGAATTACCAAGTAATAAATATTTATATTTAATTTCTTTTTTAAACCATGTCGGGTATAAATGTATTTCAACTTAATAAGACACAAATGCAAATATATGTTGTGAAAAGAATAATAAAGCATTGTCTTTAAATAAGTTATTTTGGTGTAATTGGCAAATATTGTTTTAGCCCGCGTTCAAGTTGCTTTATTTAAAATTAAACTTCAAGTGGCCTCAAGACAAAGAACAATGCTGTGTAATTCAGCTGTCCGGGATAAACAAAACATATTTTCATGACCAAAAATGAGCAGAAGATACCGTTTTTCTCTCCGCATTGGACCCCACACATTTGCGCTTATACAGCTGCGGTCAAAATAATAGTAGTGCTAACAAACATAAGTGCTTAGAAACATACCTTTGGGGTATAGGACAACTTTTTTTTTAATTCATCATATTGCTTACTTACCAATAAACAAAATAAGACTTAAGAACCCACTGAAATTTTAAAGAAATCGAAAACTGTTTATAATTCACTTTTAAATATACTGTAGCTAATTTTATTTTAACAATTTAAGGAAATAATCATACATAAATTTGTATTAGAAATAAAATGTTTTTTTTCCATCTGAACTCTTTTTTAAATTTATAACAAGTTTGGATTTTTATAGTTGCCTCATTGAGCTTATAGTAATGCTTCACGAAAATATAAAAAAAAAATGTTCAAAAGTTTCTATTACTATTGTTTTGGCCGCATCTGTATATACTCCTCTGTTGGTTGGTCACGCACTCGAAATTTTCGCGACAATTACGCCGACATTGGACTAATGGGTTCTGGCCACTCATTATGCTTGACCGAAGTCTAAACCCATGTCTTAACCCATGCTGGCGCCACCAGATCGGTCCATTAGTCATGAGTGGTCAGTGGATAGTGGATAGTGGATAGTACATATACCTGCAAAGTGGATAGTGGAAGTGGATTGACCTCGCCGGAAAAACGTGACATAATGCAAATCACACTGGGGGCAGATAATGGCCCAAGTTGTTTGCTGGCCACAATAAAATTCAAAACGGAATGAATTGTTTGAAATGGGTTTGGTTACCATTTTCCCTCTTTATTTTATATCGAAAATTCTCATGAAATTTTGTTAAGCTCATTAAAGTTGAACTGTAATGAGGAAAATATTTGTATACATTTTCGTATATCTTTAGGACTTGTATTTATGTTTTTGATACTATTGCATTGTTATTTAATACCTTTATTTCCGAATTGATTGGATGTTAAAATGCAATGAATGTCTACATATACAATTTAAAACATTAAAATTCCTTTTTAAGATGGAGAAAACAACAAATTAAAGATCAAAGCTTTGTTTTTTTTTTAAATTTGTGGATTGGCTAAAAGACGGATTTAAAGGCTTTGCTGAGATTAAGGGGAACTTTCTTCTCTCTGCCACAGATTCTTGGGTTTCCATTAGATACTCCCTACATTTTCACCGGCATGACTGACAATTACAATAGCTCAATCAAGTACACAGCCACCTGCCATGGCCATACCCATGGCTGTACTCGGTTTCCCTCATCTCCATGCTGCCTTAGCTGCCATAGTTGCCCCCTTCCCGATGATTAGGCCCCAATTGCTCTAGAAACTATGCCAAGAATGTTGAGCACCTGTTGGCATCATTTCTGCGGCAGGCAAACGAGCGGCTTGTCTCCGACCCTGAGAAATCAATGCAGTTTCTACGCTTTGCCTTTGTTTATACTATCGACTCAAGTCGACTCGACTCGACTCGAATGAAACGGTTGAACGTGTCGGAGCTGGGAGCCCAGAGCTTGGATCTCCTCTATAATAACCACCCCATATATCTTGGGGCTTCAATTGACCAGCTGCTCGAAGAAAGAGAAAAACACAACACAACACAACACTAAACAAAAGTGGGAGCTGAATGAGCCCACGTGTTGCTGCCTTCTCCACGTACTTAATTTGACAATTTAACGGCCAGGCCAGCTTTTCGGTTCGGAACTTACTCCCACATAATAGTAACCGCCGAGATAACGCGTTTATCTACTGAAAGGCCACCCACTCAACGCCCAGGCACCTCAGTGCACTGAGAACAATACTTCATCTGTTTCAGTGTAAAATTAACACTTTGCAGAGCCAAACTGAACTATCGAACTTCGGCGGGCTGAATCAAAGTCCATTGCAGTTGGCACGAGTTTTAAGTGCTGCCAACAAATTGCGTCGCATCGCAATTGCAAAAACTCAGGTGCAGACATTAATTTGGCATTTCCAATTCTCGCGCATCAAATCGAAAAGGCCAACTTGCAGCCATACTGATGGACTAAGTGATTCTGTGCAATATTTGAAATTTTGAAAGCTGAACATATTTAATAGAGAACATTTTATGTATAATTAAAAAAAAAAAATTAATTGATTTTAGGAAAAAATCCTTAATTTATGGAATAATGCACTAAACAGGGCCTTAATTTAGGAAAATGTTAAGTGATCTAAGGACATAAGAATTTTTTATAATATCATGTTCTTTTATGTCTCTAGATATATAAATTTAGTTTGTGAGTGCAGGGATTCTACTTAAATCACTT